TAAATTGGGTACTGAAGGGACCCGACACCTTGCCGATCCTAGGATCAACGAAACAGATAACTTCCGGCCGGATATGTGTCTAACGGTCAAGCCTTTCAACCGTGTAGATTGTCGACTCCTCTTACTGGAAAATGTCTTTCCGGATGCCGAGGAGATGGTGGAGGAGATGGTGGAGGAGATGCCATTTACCTGTAATGAAAAAAACATAAAATTATATCAATACACATGCAAAGTCTCCTCAATTACATGTTAAAAAAATAAATAAATAGAAACATAACTTAGATTGTATTAATATTTTCCCATATGCCTTCATCATGGTCATTGCGAGTAGCATGAACAAAGTCCTCTTCCAATTGGGATATAGCAATAGGCAACCGTGGTGAATTTTGAATGTTAATAAAATCATCTAATTCTTCTCCATTCTCATTTGTGACATCAATCATTTTTCCTTTGAGGACAACTGACCACCTATCATTTGATGGATCAGTGACATAAAACACTTGTTTTACCTGGTATGCCATTATGAAGGGTTCTTCCTTATGACCAATCTTGTTTATATCAATCAAAGTAAATCCCATTTGGTCTCTTTGGACACCAGTATTGCTATCAACCCATTTACATTTAAATAAAGGCACTTTGAATTTAGTATAGTCGACCTCCCAAATCTCCTCAATCACTCCAAAGTAACTAATTGATGTCATGATGGAGTTTTTGTCCTTTGCACTAGAAAAGTGCATAGATGTTGCCTCAATAGATACTCCACTATTCTGGACCGTACTTTTGTCATCTTGTGCCTTCGTATAGAATGAGTATTTGTTAATGTCATACCCTTGCCAAGTTATAACATTATATCTAGGCCCATGTGCTAGCCATTTCGAGTGTATCGGAGGCATTGTCACTTGAAAATATTTTGCTTTGAAACCAATTGATAAAGTTGTTGTTATGCTCTTTCATCAACCACCTTTCACCCATTTTGGGGTTTAGGTCCTTTAACATTGTTTTATGCGCATCTATGTAAGGAATAACCTCTTACGTATTGTTCAAAATATACAAGTGGGCGGTGGTAAACTCTACATGATCTTTTGTTTGAATTCTAATACCACGAGTTCCCTTACCATTTAGCCTATCATCATGACGATTTCTAGGTACACCCACGAGTACGACTCTTGCCAAGTAATCCGAACAAAATTCTATGGCTTCTTACGCAATATACCGCTCAACAATTGAAGCTTCAGGTCTATATGGATTTTTAGAATACCCTTTGAAGATCTTCATGTATCGCTCAATTGGGTACATCCACCTCAAATAAACCGGCCCACAAATTCGTATCTCCCTCACAACATGAACGATTAAGTGAATCATTATATCAAAGAATGATGGAGGAAAATACATCTCCAATTGACATAGCACAACCGTAGCCTCATTTTCCAACTCATCTAGTGATTTTTCATCGATAACCTTGGCACAAATAGAATTGAAGAAAAAACATAGTCGCATAATGGCATGTCTAACATTCTTAGGCAATATGTTACGTATAGCCACGGGTAACAAGCTGTTGCATCAAAACGTGACAATCATGGGACTTTAATCCAATTAACTTCAGATCTTTCATGGATACAAGACTCTTAATATTTGAAGAGTATCCTTGTGACACTTTAATACTTGCAAGACAATGACATAAACTACGTTTCTCCTTCTTTGACAAGGTGTGACATGCTTGGTGGTAGATATGTTCTATTGCCTTCGAGGCCTTGGATGTAATTCGGGACGTATTCCCATCTCACAAAGGTCTTGACGTGCTTTGATCCCATCCTTTGACTTTCCTTGAATGTTTATCAATGTGCCAATGAGACTATCACATACATTCTTCTCCACATGCATAACATCAATACAATGTCGTACTTCTAAATGGCTCCAATATGGAAGATCAAAGAAAATTGATCTCTTCTTCCACATGTTCTTGTCGAGAAGACCTTTTTTGGGTCTTTCCAAATGTAATGCTTATGTTCTTCACTCGATCGTAAACTTCTAAACCAGTCAATGGTTCTCTGGCAATTTCATCCTCCTGTATGCCATTAAAAGCTTTCTTCAGTCTACGGTATGGATGGTCATGCGGGAGAAATTTTCTGTGTCTGTTATAAATTGTCTTCTTTCCATGTTTCAATTGTATATAAATGGTCTCTTCTTCACAAATAGGACAAGCATAATGCCCCTTCACACTATACACACTCAAGTTTCCATAGGCAAGGAAGTCATTAATGGTGCAAAATAACATTGCATGCAACTTGAACTTCTGGCTGCGATACCCATCAAATGCATCTACTCCTTCCTCCCATAATAGTGTTAAGTCTTCTATCAAAGGACTCAAATACACATCTATGTCATTTCCTGGCTGTCTTGGACCTGAAATCATCATACACAACATGACATATTTGCGCTTCATGCATAACCATGGTGGAAGATTGTAAATCATCAATAAAACGGGCCATGAACTATGGTTACTACTTAAATTTCCAAAAGGATTCATCCCATCTGTTGCTAATCCAAGTCTAAGGTTTCTTGCATCACTACCAAAACTTGGAAATAGACGGTCAAAATTCTTCCATTGGGGAGAGTCAAATGGATGTCGCATTTGCCCATCACATGTTTTTCTCTTTGAATGCCAAATTAAATTTTCAGCATCTTCGTGAGCGTACAACCGCCTAAATCTTGGAATAATTGGAAGATACCATAAAACTTTTGCAGGAGGACGTTTTTTACCACTCTCCTGACTACAATCATCACCATCCTTCGTTTTGTAACGTGATACACCACATGTTGGACATTGGTCTAAAGATGAGAATTCTTTCCTGTATAACACACAATCATTAGGGCAAACATGTATCTTCCTATATTCTAAACCCATCGGACATAGTATCTTCTTCGCTTCATACATACGGTCCGGCAAGGTGTTATTGTCCGGGAGCATCTCCTTCAAAAGTTGGAGTAATTCATTAAAACTTGTATCACTCCAACCAAATTTTGCTTTTAGATTGACCAATCTTAACACGAGATGACAACCGTGTGAAAGTTGTACATCCGGGATACAAAGGTGTCTCCGAATCGGTCCTCAATGTATCATATATAGATGCATGTGCTTCAAGAAAGCTCTCTTGACCCACATCACAAAGCATGTCCTCTATTCGATCTTCGCGAGGTTACATCATCCTCAAGAGTTTGTGATACTTGTTGGAATATCAACCACTTCACCGTGCCATGTCCATATGGTGTAATTCTTCATCATCCCATCGCAAATAAGATGCTCCGCGTTGTGTCCATCTCTTGTACTCGCCATTTACACAATTAACGCATGAGCAGTAGATTTTTCCATTCATTTTGGCAGCATTTTGTTCGGCAAATTTCAAAAAGGAGTCAACTCCATTCTCATACTCTTCGACATACGACTTGCATTGACCCAAGTTCGATCCATCTAACTACACAAAAAGGCTTGCCTAGATATTCAAGGTTTATTAGAAAAGGTTTAACAAAACAATACAAAAAAACGTGTACATTGCCTAACAATGCTCTAATGTTCCATACATGCTCTAATGTTCCATATACCACTTCGAAACCTAAACCTAAACCTAAACCTAAACGAAACCTAATGTTCCATATACCACTTCGAAACCTAAACGAACCTAGATCAAATCAAACCATATATACAAAATCATCCATCATCTTTCTAATGTTCCTACGCAGAAATGCTCTAAATAATCCATATTTATGTTAAATGCATGCTGTAAATCATCCATACAACTTAATCTAACCCGATGAGAGCGCGGCGAGTGGGCGCGAAGGGGCGGCGAGGGCGGAGCACAGCGGTGAGGATCGAGGCAGCAGACCACAGCGAATGAGGTAGCAGCAGCGAGTGGGCGGCGAAGGGCGCGAGGGCGAGCGAGGGCGGCGAAGTGGGCGGCGAAGGGCGGCGAGGGGCGCAGTGAGGACCGAGGCACAGCGAAGAAGAAGCGAAGGAGGGAGTATGTGGGACGAAGAAGAAGCAGACGAGGGGGCAGCGCGCCTAGGAGGAGAGGTATAAAGGACATTCAACGTCGGTTATTAAAAAACCCGACGTGGATAACGCTTTCGACGTCGGGTAAATCATGTAACCGACGTTGATTTTGGGAATTCAACGTCGGTTATACATAACCGACGTTAAATTTAAACATTTAACGTCGTTTGTCATATAACCGACGTTGAATTGCAGTTACTACGTCAGTTATTATATAACCGACGTTAAATTTTGTTTCATAATTATAAGTTTGCTACCGCGTCTTGTACAACGTTGGTCTTCGTGATAACCGACGTTGGATGCTGTCGTAGAAAGTGTTTTCTGTAGTAGTGGGACTTGAAAATACTTTTACAACTGTGTTTTGTCGAAAACATTAGAAAGCAGACGGAATGTGACAAATATATTCTAGTTTTTTAATTAACTCGAGTGTATAGAAGAAATAGAAAATGATCAGAAAGAAAATGTCAACGACCTAGGATTTTGAGTTTGATCATTAGTATGTATTCAAAGTTTCTATTATCAAGTAATAGAAACTTTAGGAGAGTGCGTCCTTGATAAATAGCTAGATAAAAAGACAAATGTGAAAGAAAACAAGATGAAACGAAGACCAATTACAATTCTGCATTGCTATGAAAATGGGCAACATTTACCAGAAGCACAAATTACTCTCATACATGAGCCTGCATGATGCCAACATTTCAAATTGCTCTAATGGTCATGTAAAGGAAAGGACTCAGACCAACTATTAAATACTAACTGGGAAAGGGAAAAAGCAAAAACATCTACTGAACCTCCTAAAAATGTATCTATGGTAAGACATGAAATTTCCTTCAATAGAGAGGGAAGGTATTACTACTCTGCGACGCAGAACCTAGATCTTGTTGAAAAGTAAAGAGTTGAGAATCCCATTCACAGAACATCCATAAATCTCTATTCATCAAAAGAAAACACCTCAGCATCCCATCACTGCGCAATTAATCACAAAGCTCCCTATGTGCCTTCTGACAAGCAGGTTCCACTGCACTGCACCTTCATTTGGGACCCAAGAATTAATTTCAGTCATACCTGCACTCTCAGCACTAAGCCCACCAATGACCATAAGCCGATCTCCACATGCCCGAAATCCTATTCCCCATCCACGCATGGAGGATGTTCCTTCAGGAAGACTTCCAATGGTCACCCATTTGTTCCCCTTTTTCTCATATCTCTTCACTATGTGCTGGTTACAATCTGCAGCATACAATACATTGTTTACAACTGCAACCAAAGGAGGAGCCTCCATATTGGGTTCTCCTCCACTTCGCGGAGGGAACATGTCGGGTATTTCACGCCATGTTTTGGTCTCCAAATCATACTCCTCACCGCTCGTTACCTCCGTTTTGTTGTCTTCTGCAATTCCACCAATCACATAAAATTTTCCATCCATGAATACAGCAGAAGACATCCTCCTTTTTCTATGCATGTTTGGAAGAGTCTCCCACCTTTTGGTTTTTGAGTTATAAAGCTCAGCCACATTCAGGACCTCGCCAGATGGATCAACCCCACCAGCCAGTATGGCAATTACCCCAAGGCTGGCAGATCCAAATAAGCATCTGGGAATGTTCATATTCACAGCAGATGACCAGGAGTTGGTCAAAAGGCTATATTCATAAACCACTGGAGCCGATATTGACCTTCCAAAAACAAGAAGATCAGTACCAACACCCAACGACTCCTTATCGGAACACATAAAGCAGTCATTAGGAGGCATTCTTGGCAACTGCATCCAACGGCCACGGTTTGGATCAAATACCTCCCATTCATGGAGACTGCAAGAGAAGTAAATCCAATGCTCTACAATACTCACTTCCCGCCTCAGCTGATACAGTTCCTCACTCCGAATGAGGGATCGGAAACTACGGTTCAATGCAGCAATTGAACCATAATCAGACCGTGACACTTTTAGGAGAACATGGACTGCGAGATCCTTGTAGAGTTCGCCAATACGTGGGCTTTTGTTTTGCATCTCAGCTTCATTGTTCTCATTCTCTTGGTCCTGGGGAAGGACAAGACTAGCCAGAGCCGCCTTCTTACCCTTCTCTTTGGGATCATCTGAAACTCTGGACGACTTTTTCAGCACAGCTTCTTTTTCATCTCCTTCCTGTGAGACCTTATTGTCTGAGACATCCGTCGAGCGTGAAGTATTATGAGCCCGTTGTTGGTTCTCCTCCTCACTTGAGTTTGCCACGTCCTTTGAAACATTACAGGATGAATCCTCCATCATTACCTTGAAAAAAGGAAGAGCCTGGTTTCCATTCACCAAAAATTAAAATTAAAATGAAATATCAATTAATCAGTTGAATAACAGTGATTTTTTCTAGCTTCATTTTGTCAAAAAGTTTTACTAGCAACACATGCCACAGTGATCATCAAATATAAAGATTACTCTTAACAAACATGCAAATGCCATATCAAAAGGAAAACTGCAAACAATGGTATGTTTGAATAACGATTGAAAAAACGTTTTTTTTTTTTTTTGGAATTCCAATGCATATTCTTGAATTCTGATACACAAAACGAAGAAGTAAGCGTATATTAGTTCGAAAACTAAAAACTTTTTAACTCTCCAACCGACCATTCTAAATTACAGGTTTTCGACGCAGATGGGTACAAAAACGAATGTAGAAGTCACACGAAAGCGCTTCCGGAATTTAGTGCATTCACACAGAGATTAAAGACATAGCCATGAACATCCGTGGCATCCATACCAGCTGCCACGAACGATAATCACCACCGTAACCAAAAGGAAATCCACACAAACATCCTAAAAAATTGAGAGATATTCGTTATCGGATCTTAAGAGGTGTCCCGGGAGATGACTATAGGCAGGAGAAAAAATAATGGAGCGATTCTGATAATTGATCAGGAAAACAAAATTCAACATAAAAAGTACGTGTAAATCCATGTTCAAAGACTCCAGCATTCCATTTAAAAAACTATTGGTAGCAACCCCATAAACCCCTTGAACCCCTTTTTTTCTGTCGTGAAATTGGCATAAAATAAATAAACAAGCACGGCCATGCATGAAAAAGCTCCAAAAAAAACCAAGAAAGATGAAACGGGGAGAGAGAGAGAGTTGAAAGAAAAGCTTACGAATTTGGCTGAATAAGCTATAAAACTAAACTGGGAATGTAGAAGTTTGTGCAGTTTATCACTCTCTCACTCTCTAAATACATATGAAGCTATTCCTTCTCCTCCACCCTCAGATATCTCTGATCTGAGAGTTGAGAGAGTGGATTCTCACCGATATTAGTCTCTGTTGTGCATAGGTCTGTCCATGACAACTTTATTTATAGTACAAAAAAATTGAATAAAGGAGGAGAATATTGTAGATAATAATGTTGGAAAGTTTGTGGGGCCTACCGTGACTGACTCAGAATAGTGTACAATGTTGCACAGAATTCCCGTTAACTTTCAGTGAAGAACCCAAACCGCTAACTCCCGTTCCTGCACGTGTTTGCGGCATAGTGGCTATGACACTTCTTTAGTTTTTGAGTTTTTTTTTTTCACTCATTTTTTCTCTCTCTATCTTAAATTTTTTATTTGTTTCCCAACTCAGCAACTCCTTTATTTCTATTAAACGTTCATTGTCTTTGCTTGCCTCATTTATTAAAAAACATATTTAATCCTATTTCTTCTCGAGTTTCAACCATTAATAAATATTTTAGAGTAACTGTGGGTTCAAAGTGGAAGTTACTTCATTATAATAATTGAGGGAACGTTTAAATGCAATAAATATTAAATATTTTTATTGCAGATAATTCAATTTCTTTGACAGTGTATTTATTGACTCAATTACTTTAACTCCTGAGAAATAAAGAAATGGTGAACTGTCTTTAAACTATATCAGTTGAGAATTACTTTTAAATTTCATGAGAAAAATTTGAAAATTTTTAATATCTTTAAGATATTAAAGGACTTTATTTAAAAAAAAATATAGCCTCAACAATAAAAAGGTACAAAGAAATATTTATACCATAGAAACATTATGGTTAAGTTATGCGTATTTTTTTGTTCATTTATTAAATTGTGAAAGAGATTTAGTTTAGTATTTTTTTTTCGAGAATATGCATTGAGAAGTTTATCTAGCTAAGATTATAATCCTTTTATGTTTGTTCAAAATTCTAAATTTATCTCTTTATTTATTTAATTTAGTTTAATAATTTGTCTCTTTTTAATTTAAATTTGATATATATATATATATATATATATATATATATTATTAATGATTAAAATAATAATTTCTAACTGTTAAAAAGGTATCATATTTGACTAAAAGGGATGAACTGAAAGCAAAATAAAATTTAATAATAAAAAAAATTATTATTTCTCTTTCTTTTCATTTATTTTTTTATTCTTTTTCCTTTCTGTTCATTTAATGCTGATTTTCTTTTTTTTCTTAATTTTCTTTTCTATTACATCTTATATTTTAATTAAAAATAGATTAAAATTTGATAAGATGAATTTTTTATTATTTATGAAAAAAATTCATAAATATTATAATTTAATATATTATATTTTAAAAAATATTATATAATAAATTGAGATATTATAAATATTATTGTTATGTTATAATTATTAAAAAAATTAAATATTTATTTTAAAGTAATTTTGTAATAAATATTTTTTTTAATTATTTAATCTAATTAATTATCATAATTTAAATTAATTATAATTAGATTAAATTATTAAATAAAAAAATTTGGAAATTTTTTTATTTGATGAGTAATTATTTATTGTGATTATAGTTTTAAATAATTATTTGATTTTTTTTAGTTTTGATTTAAAAATATTTGTTTTAATCTATTTTTATTAAATTTTAATAGTTTAATTAAGAGAATAGAGGAGAGAAGAAAGAAAAGAAAAGACTTAACATAAACAAAAAAAAAAAGAGGAAATGAGAAAAGAAATGTATATACGAGAAAAGGAAAAAAACTACATATTAAGTAGTTTACTTAATTAAATAATTTAATAAATATTTTTTTTAAATATATTATTTATAAGATTAACTTTTGTTTCATATAACATTAAATATTATTCATATTAATTATTTTTATTAAAGCATTTCTCATTGTAAACATATTTAAAAATAATAAATATGAACGTAAGAAATATTAATTTTCAACTAGCTTCTAGCCGTTTTAGTATTTGAAATTCGTTCGTAACCTTTTTTTTTTTTTTTTTGCATATCTTAACTGTCTTCTTTATTATACTTCCATAATATTTTAAAGCAAGGGACAATGCTGTGATTTGGTTTGATTTTGTATTTTAAGAATCAAATGGTTTGATTTGAAAGATTTTGTTATTATGAATAAATATATTATAATAAAATAGTTATTTAATAAAAAAATATATTATAAAAATATTATTCGTATTTAATTATGATATTTATAATTTTAATTTTGCTTTTATATGTTTTTATATTTAATTTAAAAACAACAATGTATGTTATAAATTATAAGATATTATATTGATTTACATCTAAGAAAAAATGTCATCTTATATTTTAATTTTAATAATATATATTAATTTTGGTTTGATTCAAATTGAATTGGTTCTTGTTTTATCAAACCAAATATCGAATAGATCGATTTTGGAAATTTTTAATTTAATTTTAAATTTAATTAAAAACTCTTATTTTTAACATCTTTCTTACACAATTAAAACATTTAATACATCTATTTAATATTTTTAAGATATTAAATCTAAAGTAGTTATTGTTTGAGAAAAAACTATTGTATTAAATTAAAAGATGATGAAATTTTCTATATATATTAAAAAAATTAATAGTTCATATTATTTAAAAAGTAACCTTATCATTATTAATTCATTTATAGTTCTTCTTGTCCATCATTAATTCATTATAGGTATATATTAAAAAACAAATTAATAAACGTTTAATACAGAATTTAAAACTGATAAAAAGAAAATAGAGGATTAAAAATATATAGACTAAAATAAAAAATAATTATATTATTGTAGACACTAACACATTTTTTAGATTTATTCATAATCAAATTAAAAAAATCTTAAATAACAAGAAAAAAATAATGGATCAGTTAACTATAGATTTTGTTGGTTCAAATATCTTACTTACCAAGCCAATTCTTGTTAAAATAAATAAATAATTATTTATTTGATATTTTATATTTTGAAAGTAAGCATCTTAAGTTTTAATTAAACTCATGTTTTATATTTTAGTCTTAATCATTTGTTTGTGTTTAGATTTTTAAATTGTCTAATATTTTTCTTCTTATTTTACATTCTTGTTTTTTTTTTTCATTTATAATTTCTCTATTGTAATGATAATGATGCTAATGTGAAATTGATAACGTGATGGCAGGGTGTTAATGGAGAAATTGAAACAATTGCAACGAGTTAAAACAATATTTTTTTTTTATACAGAAACTAAAAATGAAAAAGTATTTAAATGTTATTTAAGCTTTTTCTGATACAATGATTAAAATGTTAATTGCATTTTCATTTTCTGTTACACTGAATCACTCTTGTCAATAAAAAAATCACTTTATATTTTCTAATTACTGAATTCCATAACAACATTTGTTAAGACCTTGAAAACGGTCGTTAAAAAATATCTTATGAAACAAAATAATAAGTACAATAGGATATATTATTGAATTTGATGAAAATATAATCATAGTCAAAATTACTTACATGTTATTTAATTATAAATTAACATATGAAGTGATGTTAAAAAAATATTTGTAAATATATATATATATATAAAATATTTTTTATTTTTATATTTAAATTAATAATAATAATAATAATATAAAATCTATCTAATTACTATTTATTAATATTTTGAATTTTGGACGGATAGATCAACCAATTCAATTAGAAACTTATTTCAAAATCTAAAATCTTAAACTTTAAACTTATTTAGAAACCGATAAATTGTTTAAAAAAATAACTTTAATTAAACTCATAAAAAACTGAAAAAATAAAAAAAATATAACTAGCTTTTTTCCTGAATTTTTTAAAATAAATTTGTATAAAAATATATGATATATTTCAATTTATTTTATTTTATCTCATAATATCACGTTAACTTTAAATAATAATTATTTTATTGTATTCTTATGATAATTGTTACTATTCAATACTATTATAACTATTTTCATTTTTTTTATAAAAAATATATTATTAATAAATTTATTATATATTTATTATATTATAAAAATACAATTTTATTAAATTTAATATTAAATGTTTTAATGTTAAATTTATATCTTTACCGTTTAAGTAACTCCATTTACATTACATACTCATAATTTCAAAATGACTATCTTAAAAAAAATATAAATTAGTTGTTTTTTTACGTTTTAATGAAACATCCATTTATTTTTTTATTAAGATTTTTTTGTGTCTTTAAAGTATATATATATAACTATTTAAAAATATTTATTATTTTTCTTAATAAATGCAATAATCTTAAACAATACCGAGCAATTGAGTAAGGAAATGAATAATCGTGCATACGTTATAGTCTCACTGAATTATTATTTTTTTTATTGGGATTCACTCCTTATTTACCTTCATGGTTCCTTTATTAAAATTATTAATTACTTTTTTTTTCTATTCACACATAAAAAAATACAAAATAATAAATAATTAAGAGAAACAAGTTAAATAGATAAATTAGTAAAATAAAAAACATTAATTACTTTTTCTTTCACTCACACATAGAAAAATATAAAATAAGAAATATAATTTTCTATTTTTTTAAATAGTTTTTTTATCTTATATTTATTTTTGTAATATTTTTTCTAGATACTTTATAGGTTTGTAAGAAAAAAATAATAACATTTTTTTAATTTTGTTTATCTATAACCACTAATCATAGTATGCTTTTAACATATTTAATCCTATTTTAAGATAATCTTTTTTTTTTCTGTTTTTTATTATTATAAAGTGTCTTATTTTTATTTTATTTTCGTTATAATATATAAATGAATAAAATTTTTATGTTTTTTTGTTATTATAATATTTGTTTAAATTTTCTTAATTTTTATTTTTAAATATATGTAATTATGAGTGGATGAAAATTATAAGAGAGATAAAGTGAGTAAATGAATTAATAAAGTAATAATAATTAAGAGAAGAAAATTGAATAGATAATTATAAACCTAGTTGTGTATTTATAATTTTCCATAAATTTATCCATGCATGCTACAGAAAACCATTTGAAACATTGTTTTCGGTGTCACAGAAAAGTTAGAGACACTTATTTAGGAAAAAAAAACACTAATTAAAAAAGTAATGAAATAAACATTTGATTATTATTTATTTTTCTTCCCTCTTTGTCTCTCTGTATTAACAAGACTGATTAATATTTTCCAAAAAAAGGTGCGTAAACAGACAAAATAACTGCCCCTTTATTTTCGTTCACATTCCACCATTTGACCTTCGGAATGACTTCAAATTACCACGAGAAAACTTAAAGAGACCGTAAGTTACAAAAAACAAGTGAGGGCATTTACGGAAGAAAACTAGTTCGATTGTTGTCAACCTGTGAAAATAACACAACAATAAAATTGCGTGTCTTTAGTTATCTGTATTTCCAAAAACGTTTAATATATAAGTAAGACAACTCAACACTATAATATGGTTCTCTCTGTTTTCATGTTCTTCTCTGGAAACACGGAGAAGAACAGGATGTCAGAGAACCATGAGACACAAAGCATTTTGAGATTGGCATAGATGTCACGTTGCATGACGAGAATAAAGCTGGATTGAATCGTTTTTTGTCTATTCTTTATTGGGTTTTCAGAAAGGGTTAATTGTTTCCTCTGATGGGAAATTGCTGTCGAAGTCGGTGCAAGATTGATGGCACTTTGAAGCCCCAACCTTGTTCTGGTAGCATTTTTTTCTTTTGGGTCAAGTTATCATGTTTTTCTTCCACGGTTACGTATGTAACATATATCTTCTGCTTCTGTCGTTGCATGCGGAAATCGAGATTTTATGTGTTTTTCGTTTGGTTTTCTCGTATAACGTCTTCATGGGGTTCAGAAGAAAAAGAAAATGGTTGTGCATTTGCTAATTTGCTTTGTTATTATTTCTGATCATGATTATGCATGAAACAATATGCTTCGATTATTGTGTGAATGCTTAATGCTGCAGTCCCTACATGCAGAGTTCTTGATCGCATTACTGCATCTCTTAGTTTGGTTCCTCATGCTTTAGAGATTTGGGTAAATTTTAATTCAAGGTCGTGCTTTATAGAGCCATAATTCCATTGATGAGTTAATTTGTATTTAATTCCTCATCTTGTGTGTTTTTCAAGACAGTACCGAATATCAAAGGAGAAACCATTGAAGAACTACGTTCTTTCATTCCCTTATTTGGAATACAGCATTTATGATTAGACAGCATCAAATGGTCATCTAAAGCATATATAGTGGCATGATAATAATCCCCGTTGATTTATACAAAATATTATGAAATAATATAACCAACAAGAATACATGGTTAAGGATTTATCTGCACCCCCTGCATTACTTTCTCAACTGTAGGATCAAGCACATGCTTCTCATGATTGAGAATATGTTTATAAATCAATCGTATTATGTTATAAAATGAGGTTTCTAACTATACATTATAAATTAATTATATTTTTTATCTATATTTATTTTCTATGTTATACATTTTTTATAATCAAACAAACATCTAACAATCTAATTTAATAATATAATTTATTATTAATATATATATATATATATATATATTATTAAATTATGTTATAAATTGATGGTTTGGTTGAAATAGGGTTGTATATGCATCATTATTAAAATAAATAGGCTGAGTAAATCCAGTTTGAAATAATTGTGCATTTTCTCCAAAGAAACTAAAGTATTTCTTTGGTCTTAATTTGTTATGCATCTCATTTCATAATGCAGATGATTTTTTTCCAAGAGGAATATTTTCTCTGCTTCAAATAAACTTCTATGTTTGACAGTAATGAAAATGATTTTCAGATGTTATCGAAGTTCCCAGTGGAAGCACCCATTTGTTGGTTCATTCAAATCCAAACGGGTATGGATACAGTGATGAAGGTAAACCTGAGATTCTCCCCACTCCAAGATCTGAATGGGACATACTTTCATCCCCACATTTAAAACCTTTCACACTACATGATCTTAAGAAGGCCACAAGAAATTTTCAGCCTCATAATCTAATTGGAGAAGGAGGATTTGGTTATGTCTATAAGGGGGTGATTAATGATAGTAAATCCTTCGGAGATACAATTGCTGGATCCAGAACAGATGTAGCTGTGAAGAAGCTTAAGCCTGAAGGCTTTCAAGGCCACAAGGAGTGGCTGGTAGGTTACTTCATTAGGCCTTTAATTCTGCTTTAGGTTAAAATGAAGAAAATTCCATCGTAGTTCTCTTTTTGCAGTCTGAAGTCAACTATCTTGGCCAACTTCACCATCCAAATCTTGTCAAACTTATTGGATACTGCCTGGAAGGGGATAACCGACTTTTAGTGTATGAGTACATGCCCAACGGATGCTTGGAAGATCATATATTTCGAAGTATGTTGATGTCTTTAGTTGCTTAAGTTTCAGAAAGTAAAACACTTCAAACCTGATTCTGCTATGATTTAGCATTATGTAAATCAATTCAATAACTTTGGTAAACGTTTCTTTGAACTGTGCCTCTAATTGCACTTTGATCAACCATGGAACTGTTAATTGCAGAGAGTGCACAAACACTTCCTTGGGCAACAAGAATCAAGATTGCCACGGGTGCTGCTCGAGGTCTCTCCTTTCTACATGATTCTAAGCAACAAATCATTTACCGAGATTTCAAGGCTTCTAATATTTTGCTAGATTCGGTACGTTGGTTAAATGCTTGCAAACTACGTATGTATCAGTCGGTGGTACCTTCCTTTAGCCATCTTTATTTCCTATCTGTTCTATTGGTTTCCCTTCTTTCTTTTCAGGTATTTTTTAATAAAATGTGTTCCTAAATTTAACAGACCCATCCAATTTGAAATGCTGATTGAAAGTACATTTTAATTTCAGTGTCCTAGTAGTCCATTATTTTAACATGTTACTATACAAATGCAGGAATTTAATGCAAAACTCTCAGACTTTGGATTGGCCAAAGCAGGGCCCACCGGAGACCATTCTCATGTTTCCACTCAAGTTCTGGGCACTCGCGGCTACGCTGCTCCTGAATATATTGCTACAGGTTTGGTTTTTTCTTAAATATATTTTCATGCTTTTTGGGCTCATTAAAGTTCTGATGTTCTATCATTTTCCTTATTTTTAATGCTTCTAGATTTTCTATGTTGGATTCTTAATAGATATTTCACATCAAACCAGTACTTCATGGATATAACTCAAACTTTTGATTCAATTAAGTGATGGATGAGTCTTCAAGGCTCAATGTTAGACATACCAACCAACTTAAAGTGAACATATGAACATCTACAATCTACAAGAAATTTCCAACAACTAAATTAATGTGACTCGTTATGATAAAGTGTCTATAAATAGTGATATTCTCCATGCATAATTGATTTTATCCTACTCCATTTTCTCTTTACATTCTTCATTTGTGTTTACCTTACAATAGATAAAAGCAAAATTATCATTTTGTAAAAATCATTGTTTTCACAGCTAGTGTTTTGGGAGTGTATCAATAGTCTTCGTTGTACCTTGAAGGAATTTCGCTATCAAGTCAACTTGCATCCAGTTTTGTTATTGGTGTGAGCAAACCGTGCTCACTTCCTTCTTGTTCCTTCTCCTGCCTTTACTCTTCTTCTACCCCTCAAAGTTTCAGTTCTAACAATATAATCTCCATGCGTCTATACATTTTTATGCATACTCATTTGAGAACTGTATTGATGTGTATGTAAAGTACATCTTCACTAATAATGATAAATTGCTCTCTGTTGTGGTGAGAAGATTAAACTACTGTTTCATTGTGAAAACACACGAGCCTATAATACAAGTGGAGCATTTTGGTTGTATTTAAAAAAAAAATAAAAAATCTAATTGCCACATTAACCTTTGATCATAAAATAGTTCTTATTTACCATTATCTCGGGATCTGACTTAAATATCAATGAATTGTTTTCACGTTCTAACATGGTTCTAAATTATGTTTGTGGTTACTATTACTGTCGTGATTGCAGAAATTGTGGCTACTACTATGCAGATTGTGATCGTTATAGCACAAAAAGGAATTTTACAATTATTCTAATTATTGTTATATATTTTTTTTACAATTATGTATCATGAAACCTCCCAGCGCACCATCATAAGGTTCCTTGTGCGCACCCAACATCCTAGATAATTTTTAAACAAGTTCTATGAATCTCTTTACTACTCTAGCCTATGCTAACTGTAATTGCTCTATTTCTTCATATACCATTATTAAGTGAGTTCTACCCGTTTCCTGAGATATTAATCACACTAACTTTCGCATTGGTTGATATGGAATGGTTTAGTTTCCTCATTTTAAGATATCTGAACAATGATGTGTTTTTTGTTTGAACAGGTCGGTTGACTTCAAGATGTGATGTCTATAGCTTTGGGGTTATGCTATTGGAACTACTATCAGGGCGCCATGCTATTGATAACACGAAATCCGGAGTGGAACATAATCTGGTAGAATGGGCAAGACCCTATTTGGGTGATAGGAGGAAGTTGTTCCGGATTATGGACACCAAGTTAGAAGGGCAATACCCGCAGAGGGCAGCTTATACAGTTGCTATAATTGCTTTACAATGTATTTCTGAGGCCAAGAGTAGACCACAAATGTCTGAAGTTTTGGCTGCCTTGGAACACCTGCCAGCCATTAGACATTCATCTAGCCCGTCTAGAGAAGACAAACCCAAACAGAATCCCAAGAGAGAGGTTCTAAGTCCTGCAGCAAATTTCCCTTTGCGACATAACCATGCTCAACAAAAGCCAGAGTTGTGAAATTCCAATGGGAGAAAGGTCTATTTTCTCTTCTAGTTATATCCTCCTCATACGGGTCGTGTTAGGTGATAGATCCCATGAGAGGGTTTAGTGAACGGCTACTTCAACTATAGGTACGTAATACTAACTCTCTAGTCTCTGTCAGGAGGAATCATTTAGCTCCTTCCGTCATATATGACAGCATTCTTGCAACAAGAATTTAATCAGTTTCATTGCATTTAAATTATTATTGGTTTATTATCTAAAATATTTTTCATATTTCCACATAAATTGACATATGAGAAAAATTCTTCAGTATCACATTCAACTTTGAAAGACCATCACCAAAACATAGAAATGAAACAAAGCGATTGAACTTGAATCATAGAGCAACATTTCTTGAGATCTATTCAAACCTACATAAATGTATAATAGGAAGCAAAAAAGAAAATAACAAAAGAGGATATAAATCAATTATTCGCCTAAGGTCGAGTAAATAAATTGCATTGCATATTAATTTTGTAAGCTATTTCTAAAATTCTGAAATCCATTTAGTTAGCTGTGAATCTGTAAAGCATGATGTGCTCGTAAATCTCCCCAGGTTTCACAATCTGTGTTGGAAAGTAACGGTGATTCACAGAATCTGGGAAACCCTGTGTCTCCAAGGCAATTCCAGCATACTTGTGGTATACGGCCCCATCCTTGCCTTTGGTATCATTCAATTGGCCACTAGTATAGAACTGCAGACCAAGTTGGTTTGACCACAGCTCCATTTTCCTCCCAGAGACAGGTTCTCTCACCACCGCAACCTTGCTTAAGTGCTTTTGGAAACTTTTGTCTAGCACATAATTCATATCATATAGACCAGGAAGCTCATGAATCTGGCTTACAACTTTCTTTGGTTCAAGGAAATCATATGGAGTGCCCTTTACAGATATGATTTCGCCAGTGGGAATGAGAAGCTTGTCCACTGCTGTGATGTGCGAACCAAAGATCTGAACAATGTGAGAAAGAATGTCACCATTGTTGTGGCCCCCAAGGTTCCAGTAAGTATGCTGCGCTAGATTCACTGGTGTGGCTTTGTCCACTGGCTTGGCAATCATTTTCACAGCCAATTCGTGTGTTCCAATGAGCATGTAAGTCACTGTGACCTTAAGTTTTCCAGGAAAACCTAGCAAATTTAAGCCAAAATATGTTACTGTGTGTCATAAATTTTTTAAGAATTTCTAAGTTTCAAAAATATTATCCTATATAGCCGAATTACATTTTAGTATTGTTGAGTACCTTGCTCGTTTTCATAACTGTCGTAGGTAAATGTTACATGACTGTATTTCTTGTGGGATTCCACAGACCATACAACGTCACTGAAGCCTCTGTTACCACCTGATAATTCATAAGAGCAGGTGGTTCAACAGTTAATAGCATTTTAGTCAATAATTAATCAGAAAATGAAAAAAATGAATCAGTGGGGTGTGTGTGGATTATCAGAAGGTTGAATTAAAAGTATTAATATTGATATATACCATGAAGTGTGTTCCCGTGATCATTAGCGGGTAAATTGTAGGTTTTGCCATCCAAAGTGAATTTAGCTCCTCCAATCCTATTCGCCACTCGACCAATAAGGGCACCGAAGTAAACTGTATCATTCTACAACAAATTTCAACGCCATAAGTTTAAGAAATCTCACTGTAATATATAATATGTTCTGATGTTAGTCCTAGTAATATCTAGAGTCAAACGCGTTGGTAAGGTTATTCACTTTGACATAAACTTCTCCCCAAAAAAAAAAAATGCGAGTGTAACCCAAAATGTAGATACTGCCGCAACTTGTTTTTAGATCTTTAACCGGTTAAAACTATTCGATTGATCAAACAATATATCTACAACAAATCAATAAAAAAAATCAACCCCAAACAAAAGGGAAAGGGACAAAATCACAAAGAAGCTTGCATTTTTATTTTTTAAACTTGGTTACACAGAGAATCAGATATTAATCTCTCTTCTCTTTATATGTGAAAGAATTAATGAATCGTACCTTGTAAGAATCAATGGAGTCATAGCCAAGAACAATATCAGCTAGTTTCCCTGTGAAGAAAGTCAGAAAAAAATGTTACATGTGTTTGTGTGACAGAGAAAGAAATCAATAATTAAGAATGGGGAGAAGACAAAACAAACCGTGTTTATCAGGGGTTACTACAGACATAATTGTAGCACCGTAATTTGTCAAATTCAGCTTGAAATCTCCTCTCTTCAGTTCATAAAAGCCAATTTTGTTATGATGTTGTAGTGCCTGAACAAGGAGCAGAAGCCCAGACAGAAAAAATAAGAACAACAACGCCTTAGCCATGATTCAATGAATCTATTGTTTTTGTTATTCTCAACATTATGATCCCCTAACTCTGGATTTATATAGAGGGAGCCAAACAGAGTATCCTGATTCAATTAAAAAAAGAATATAAATATAAATTATTTGAACGATATTAAATAGTTTTAATTTTGGATTCCGATAATAAAATTCTATCAAAAATAAGTTTTGGTTATTCAGTTTGTCAGCATTATGTCATGTCACACAAAAAAAGTCAATTAATTAAATCATCTTCACTGAAGTAATTAATTAATAATATTTAAAAATTTAATTAATACTTATTAATTATTATTAGTATTTAATAATTTAATTAATACTAATTAATTATTAATATTTTTAATAAATATTATTGAATTATTAATATTAATCAATTAAAATTAATAGTATTCAATTTTTATTTTTTTAAATACCTTTAGTATAAATTAGACCAGATTTGTTTTCCTAGTATTGTTATTTTTAGTTTTTTATTGTTATTATTTTTATTTATTATTAGTGAAAATATTATTATTATTATTATTATTATTATATATATATTTAGGTCTGATTTATAGTAATAAAAAAAGTACAGTGTTAAAATTAATTTATATATGTTCAAAAGAATTCTATTTATGATAATTATTATATTATTAGTAACTTACAATTATCATATTAAATATACTACAATATAAATGTCTATATATTCAGCTAAAAAATGTCTTATTACAATTAAAAAAATTTATCTAAATAAAATTATAGTTTGAAATTATATTCACCTACGCGTTTCTATTTTTTATGCAATTACTCGTTTCTATATCATGAATAAGAAAAGATAAATTGGAGATATTTACTCTCTTTATTAGATGGTTTTAATTACACACTTTATCAGGACTAGTAAACATAATTGTTTCTCCATCATCTCAATTAATATTTGTATTTCCTTCCGTTTTTGTTTTGTTTTCTATCTATAATTTTATCTCTTTTAATTAAATTTTAATAATTTAAGTTTTTATCAAAATTTTAAATTAATTTTATAATTGATTTAAGTTTAATTATTTATTGTAAATTCAAAATATAAATTGTATATAAATTATTTATTTGATTTTAACTAAAATAAAGTATTTATTGTTTTCAATATATATATATATATATATATATATATATATATATATAAAGCAAATTAAGAGATCGGTTAACTTAAAATAAAAAAAGTTGCAGATATTAGGAACAATTATTATTTTATCATTATAACAGTAGTGTATAAAAATTTAGTCATTAAAATTGAAATTCTCGTTTTATAAGTACTAAGACCAATTATTTCAAATTTTATACGAATGAAAACAAATAGAAAAAAATTAGTAAAGACATAAAACCTCGCTGTTTACATACTAAAAATAAATTTAAATCTTAGTAATGTAACTCCTTAAGATAAATCATGCAAATTAGTGCATTCTAATTAAATTCATAGTTCCATCAACTAGTTTCCTATGTTACTTCTTTCGTTACACCATCATATGAAATAAACTAGATGTGTAAAGCTTTATTTTGAACAACAAAATTAATTGGCTTTAAAAAATAAAAAAAAGAATCAATTGTTCGTCCGCAGCTATACAGTTTATCACTCAATCGCTTGCATGAAATGACTCAAATACTTGCATGAAATCACTCGAAAACATAAGCATCTATAGCAGTTTGTTCAATTATTTGTTTTTGAGCAGTTTATTTTGCATGACAATCATGACAAGGTATCAAATGTCTGAGCCTCACTTGCAACCTTAATGAATACATCTTCCAATGTGGTGTCAACTAAACCCCATGCAGAAACAGTGAACTTTCTCTTTGCAGCATCAACAGCTTCGAAAACATCTGCTATTCTAACATCCTCTTTTGGCAGCTCAAACTTCTGAGTACCAGAGAGATGGTATATCTTATTGGCATTTGGGGTGAGTTTCTGCACCATGTTCTCCACATCTTTTTCATGCTCCGAAGATGTTGTCAGTGTGAACACGTAAGTTCCTCCGTATCTTGCTTTAAGCTATGAGAAACCAACAGAAATAGCGAGTGTAATAAAAAAAAAAAATCAAAGTCTACACAGATATGCATTTGTTCTACTTTGCAGTTAAAGAGTGAATAGTGAAAAGTATTTTATCAGTTACATTCAAAGCAGCTTCTATGAATCATGTAATGACAAATGAAAGTAAAATTGCCTTGTGCATTTTCACATGGATTTAACAGATTTATTTTGCAAAAATTCTTGATACAGCAAATCATTTGAGCAATGTTACCTCCTTTGCATTTCCTACACACTGCAAGCTACCATTTACAAATATGCCCAATCGATCACATAAGGCCTCTGCCTCTTCCATGGAATGTGCTGAGAACATAAAACCAGGATTTGTCAATATGCAAGATGTTTTTAGACAAAAACAAGTTGAGCATTCTATATAATGTACAACAAGCAGAATAATGTGATACAAAATCAAAATCCATAGAAGAGTGAGAGACTACTGGTGAGAATGATTGCACGGTTCTGTTTTGCATGCTTGACAACATTCCATAAGCTTTTTCTTGAGGCAGGGTCTAAACCGGAACTTGGTTCATCCATGTAAACAACCTTAATTTTTGCACATACAGAATAAGGAAACATAACTAGAATCTTCTTTAAAGAAAATTTATCAGACTGGAGTGAAAACTAAAACATACTTTGGGATCCCCAATTAGTGAAATTGCAACACTAAGCCTCCTCTTCATCCCTCCACTGTATTTTCCAACTTGTTTATCAGCAACTCCTCCGTGAAAAAGGTTTAAACCCTTCAAAGATTCTTCTACTGCCTTCAGAAATAGATTTGTAGCTAAATTTACGTAAGTTTTAACAGCCAAATAATAGAAAGAGAAAGTTGTTCAAATTGTATCTAAACTGCAATCGTCTTCTATAGATTTAGGGCGCTTTGTAGAAAATAAGCAATCAATAGTAATTGAGAACGTGTTGTAGAAGTGCCCTAACTTCAATAATTCGCTGAGAGTCTCAACTTTAATTCGATAACCAACTTAGGATCTAAACTTTAATAGAAAAAGGTATGTCAACCATACATCAATTGGAAAAAAAATCAAGATAAAGGTTGAGGCTTATGTGTTCCATTTATGTTATAAATTATTTTCATTTGTAAAGTTAGATAATTTTGTCTTTGGAACAATTTTATAAATGAAGTGGAGATTATGCTTAATGGTGTCCGTCAATTGGTATTGGTTATCATAGAAAGTTTTGGCACTCAAATAAAACTTCACTCAATAGTTAGTTGTTGCTTTGAGTATATTGACAAAGTCCCCCAAGAATGATGTTCCACACACTCTTCTCACCTTATCATATATGTACAAAAATTATAAACTACTGATACCAAGTCTTTTGTATATAATAGATTAGTATATTGATCATGATAAATTTTAAAACTTATTCTTCAATAAAAGCGTTTTGAGAAATTTTCTTAATTTAGGAGTTTTTATTACTTTTATATATTTAATTTTCTTATCAATATATCCTTTTCATATTTATTTCTAAAATAAATTTTAATATTTTTACAAGAAATTATTAGTTGAAATTAACTTGATTTAAAAGTATAAATTATTTATAAACTTGTTATATAAAAAAAACATTTATCTTGCATATTGCACAAGCTAAAGTACTAGTTTTTAAATATTTCAAAAACAAATAGGTACCAGGACTAGCCTCTGACTATTCCAAAACCACCAATTTATAACTGACATTGGGGAATTATAAGAGTAGTACGACTAAATACTCTTACTTCCTAAATCTTAATATAAGAACAACATACTTTCTCTCAGATTAACTTACTTGTGTTAAGATTGAGCCTCTAAGATTTTTAAGTCTCCCATAAAAAAGTAGGTGCTCTCTACCTGTCAAGTTTTCCCACAGCAAGCTACAGTAAAGAGAAATAATAGAAAAAAAAATTAGTTGATATTAGAGGGAAAAAAAATTAGAGAAATTTTCCAGCTTACTCATGCTGTGGGCATACACCCATGGTAGTGTATATTTCATCCATTTGAGTTCTTATGTCCAAGCCTTGAACAAATGCCGTACCAGAGGTTGGTTTTGTGAGACCAATCATCTATAATCACAGAAAAGCTCGTTAGATCTATGACTTCCAGAGAAAAAAATAACAGTGAATTTAGCACATTAGAGATCTATTTGTAAGGTATTTTTAAACTTAATTCTATTTTCTTGTGTAAGCTCAGACAACAGAACAGAACCTTGTTGCATTTTTTTTGGGAATGAAAACATATTCCAATGTACATTATCGGATGAACAATTTTAACTGACCATATTGATAAAAGAGGTCTTCCCAGCTCCATTGGGACCAAGCATACCAAAGCATTCCCCTTGAGGCACAGAAAGGAACAACCCTCTCACTGCAAATTTATCTGCATTTCCATCCCTCCCTGGATAGACTTTTTTTAGATCTTCACATAAAATTGCATGATTAATAGTCGGTTCAAGAAGCAGCATCTCCACCTTCTCCTTCTGAACAGACAAAGAAAGCAGTTAACACTTCATGCATGTAACTCAGTCTAAACATATTGTGTACATGAGTATAACCAAACTTGTAATACATACATGATACATGAATGAGTTCTTTCAGTGAAAATATATAGCCACATTTACAGGACAAATACAAGCTTTTATTTTGTGTGCTATAGAATTATCGTGGTTTGAATCTAGGATCTTGTCCAACCTATCCATGAAACCTCCCACCACCAGGCTGTCGGTAGAGGGTTAGACAAATACAAGCTAATTAAGACAACTAACTTTTCACCCCTGGATACAAATTGTTATTAATCTCAAGAATTGCTTCCATATTTAATTTAATTAGGATTAAAAAGTCTTCCATTATTGTAAATAGATCTTGATATTTTGTCTTTTATATCACATCAATCACATTTAAACATGCATGATGGTTCATATCAAATCAAATCATGATTAATTTTACAATATTCAGTCTCTATTCTCTCCTTTTCCTACCTGAACATCTTAATCCCCCAATTTCAACACTATGCATTTTTTTTTTAAAAAAAAGAAAGGTTTGCAATTGAAACAAAAGTTATTTGGTTCTCTATGGAATGTGTGCCTGATTAAAGTTCCACATACTACTCATCACTGAGGCAGAACAGTTAAATCAATTTCTAAAAAACTAATGTATGAAGTGCACCCGGTAGACCTTGGTTTACTTAATAATAATAATCCAGGTGAACAAATAATATAAATACATTATAGATTAATTTAATATTAAATAACACACACCTCTTGGATGACATCAGGTTTCTCAATTTGAGAGAATACTTTTGACACCTGCATTTGTGTACCAAGCTTTTGCAAAGGAGACTTTTTCTGAGATCCTTTCAAGAAGAAAAGAGGATTTTTTCTACTTCCTGACGACAATACTTGGTCAATGTAGAAGGCAGCAAAAAGCATCACTATCCACTCAGCAAACATGATAATTAAGACCTCTTTCATGCCATTAGTGCTTTCACTCAGATTCTGCCACTTCATACCACTAGCCCCTGAACTATTCCCTTCAAAGGAAAATTGTGCTAACTCATATAACCCTCGGTATAAAGCAAACCCAGGATACAACTCCATAACAATTACCCATCCTCCTGAAGAAATAGAATAGAAAATCAATAGGCTAGAATATTAGAAACTTACAAGTAGACATGTAATTGCATATATGCAGTATAAGAGATTCCATCAGTCCATCATTTACAATTCGCAGATAATAAAAACAATTTCAGAATTTGGTATCGATACAGAAGATTTTCCCCAATCAACTTTATTATTCTATAAGGAACCATTGGAGATCCCACATTGACTAGAACTATGACCAAACCAATGCATATAAATGGGGGACAACCCTCATTTCATAAGCTAAATTTTGAGGTTTAGTTGGCCTCAAGATCAAATTCTAAAAATGATACAAGAGACTATTCAAATAATCGTTGTTGAGTCTATGAAACATTGTTCCATCACCAAACCACCTTGAGAAGCCTGCCTAGTCCTCTAAACTTTGTAATTAGCGATATAGGCAAAATATTGTACATAAGTAAGGGTTAGTCCTCTGAAGCTTTTACTCTAGCTGTCTATTCCTTGACATAAAAGATGGTATATAATTTGTTATTATCCACTGGTATAATTAACCTTTCTAACTTTTGAGACATGTTGTTTTTCTATCTTTCTGTATTTTGTGTATGTTCCTTAAACTAGGGTTAAGGGTTTGGGTTGAGGCCTCTGTTGTATCTCCTTTATCTATAAATACAATGTAACAGTACCTTTAGATACTATATTGAAACCCTAAATAAGTTTCTCAAGATGGTATCAGAGCGGGTACGATCTCGCACTGATTTTCGCTCATCTTTGTCATCTCCGGCCACCATCTCATTTTGGTTCGGTGAAGGTAGGATTTGGTGCACCTCGAAAAGCACGACCCACCCCCACCAATCGCTCCTCCATCTACGGGCCCATGCGCCGTCACACGCAGCTTCTCCAGGCGAAGCTCCTAGTGTCATCCTCCAGTGGTCGGAATCAAGGCCGATTACCACCGATCGACTCGCTGGCGCCTTCCGAGTCGAGTGGTGTCCTTATTTTTTTGTTTTAAGAATTTTGGAAGCTAAGTCACATGGGTACCCTGTTGGTTAGGTTTCTTGTGGCAAATACCTTAGAGGAGTTAAACTACAAACTGGATAAGTTGTATATGGTCCTAATTTTGAGAAGTTTGCACTCTGATTTTGATCATGTACGTGATCAAATCTTAGCTAGTGATCAGGTTCCGTCAATGATAATCTTATCACGAAGCTGATTCGAGTTTCCAATCTTATGACATATGAGAATCAGGTGGAGACAGTTGAAATTTCAACTATGATTGCTCCTCGTGGTCGAGGAGGAGGACGTAACAGTTGAGGAGGACATGGGAGTACAAAAGGTCTTCCTCAATGTTCCTATTGCAAGAAGATGGGGCACACACAAGAAAAATGTTATTCCTTACACGGTTTTCCTGATAGGAATACCACTGCCCATGTTTCTAAGTCTGAAAAACCCAAACTCTAAGTAACATAGAGAGATTCATGGATAAGGAAAGAGATTAAGGGGATAGATAATGTTTTCTATTGTTGAAATAAAATTTCAAGGAGAACATACCCTGAGGATTTCCCTTTTATGCCAAAGCAATGGCTCAATCCTAAACTATTCCTAAAAGATGACTCCCTTATATAATTTGTTATTATCCATTGGTATAATTAATCTTTCTAACTTTTGAGACATGTTGTTTTCTATCTTTTTGTATTTTGTGTATGTTCCTTAAACTAGGGTTAAGGGTTTGGGTTGAGGCCTCTGTTGTATCTCCTTTATCTACAAATACAATGTAACAATGCCTTTAGACACTATATTGAAACCCTAAATAAGTTTCTCAAGATGGTATCAGAGCGGGTACGATCTCGCACTGATTTTTGGTCATCCCTGTCATCTCCGTCCACCATGTCAGTTTGGTTCGCTGAAAGTAGGATTTGGTGCGCCTCGAAGAGCACAGCCCACCCCTGCCAATCGCTCCTCCATCTACGGGCCCATGCGCCGTCACACGCAACTTCTCCAGGCGAAGCTCCCAAGCTGTCCCAATCGCCGCCTCCAGTGATCGGAATCAAGGCTGATTACCACCGGTCGACTCGCCGACGCCTTCCGAGTCGAGTGGTGCCCTTATTTTTCTGTTTTAAGAACTTTGGAAGCTAGGTCACGTGGGTACCCTGTTGGTTAGGTTTATCTTTCATCTCTGTTTGAGATAAATGACTTCATCTAGTGCTATTTCTTTTTCTGCTACTTCCACCGCAACTAGTGTCAAATTTAATTAGAAAAATTATCTATCCTAGTCTACATTAGTTGAACTATGGTTTCTAAGTCAGGGGTATCATGACCATCTAGAGAAAGATGTAAACTCTGTTTCTGCCTCAGAGAGATCTCAGTAGGAGAAAATAGATTTCTAGTTTTGTGCAATCTTATGGTAGTCTGTGGAACCTGAGGTTCTTGAGCTTCTCAGGTCATTCAAAACCTGTTCTTCCTTTTGAAAAAAAAAAGGCTCAAGACATTTTTGCTAATGATATTCAGTGTCCCTTTGATGCAACTCAAAGAGTGACGTCTCTCAAACAGACAAATCATGACATGATGTCTCACATTGCAAAATCTAGGGTTGTTGTGAAGGAATTAAAAAGGTTTCTTGTGGCAAATACCTTAGAGGAGTTAAACTCCAAACTGGATAAGTTGTATATGGTCCTAATTTTGAGGAGTTTGCACTCTGATTTTGATCATGTACGGGATCAAATCTTAGCTGGTCATCAGGTTCCGTTAATGGATAATCTTGTCACGAAGCTGATTTGAGTTCCCAATCTTATTACATATGAGAATCAGGTGGAGACAGTTGAAATTTCAACTATGATTGCTCCTCGTGGTGGAGGAGGAGGATGTAACAGTCGAGGAAGACATGGGAGTACAAAAGGTTGTCCTCAATGTTCCTATTGCAAGATGATGGGGCACATACAAGAAAACTGTTATTCCTTACACGGTTTTCTGATAGGAATACCACTGCCCATGTTTCTAAGTTTGAAAATCTATGATGAGGAGTATCAAGAGTTTTTGAAGTTTAAATCAAGAAAATTCAACAGTCAAGGTCAATCTTCTTCCATGCCTAGTGTTTCAACAGCATGCATTTCTCAATCTGTGGAAGGTCAAAACCCATGGATTCTTGATTCAGGTGCCTCTGATCATATATCTGGTAACAGTTCCTCATTTTCCTCCATGTTCTATCCTAAAATTCCTCATCTAATTACTGTAGCTAATGAGTCTAAAGTAAAGTCACAAGGAATTGACCATGTTCCATTAACCCCTTCTTTGAATTTAAATTATGTTCTTTTTATTCCTAATTGCCCTTATAACTTGATTTCTCTAAGTCAATTGACTCGTTCTCTGAATTGTTCTGTAACCTTTAATTCCAATTCTTTTGTTATTTAGGAACATGGTACGGGTCGTCTGATTGGAGAAGAACATGAATCACATGGTTTGTACTATCTAAATCCAAGTCCTTCGGTATCATGTCTTGCTTCTCCTGCCCCTAAACTTTTACATGATCGTCTGGGTCACCCAAGTTTACCAAAGTTGAAAGTGATGACTCCTAATCTCAAACATCTTTGGGATTTAGAATGTGAATCTTGCCAATTAGGAAAACATGTTAGGTCTACCTTTCCTAAATACTCTGAAACTCGATGTAATTTTCCTTTTTCAAATATTCATTCTGATGTTTGGGGACCGATTCGTGACTCCTCATTTGGATTTCGCTATTTTGTAACCTTTATTGATAAATTTTCCAGATGTACAATGAAAGAGAGATATGAAATTTTGTCCATTTTTGTGTCCTTCTTTAATGAAATTAAAAATCAATTTGGGAAGATAATTAAAGTTCTCAGAAGTGATAATATCAAAGAATATTTTTCAGCCTCCTTTTCTTCTTTTTTTTATCTTCCCAAGACATTTTACTTCAGTCAACTTGTCCTTGCACTTCACAGCAAAACGGTATTGTAGAAAAGAAAAATAGGCATGTTATTAAGACTGCACACTCTCTAATGTTGAATGTCAATGGTCTTGTTCATTATTGGGGAGATGCAATTTTCACTGTTTGTTTTCTGATCAATCGCATGTCATTTTCTTCTCTTCAAAATCAAATTCCTCATTCCCTTATTTTTCCAAATGATCATCTTTATCATGTGTCTCCTCGTGTATTTGGTTGTACCTATTTTGTACATAATGTCTCTCCAGGTCTTGATAAGTTAAGTATTGAAGTCATTAAATGTGTCTTATTGGGGTACTCTCGCCTCCAAAAAGGTACAAATGTTATTCTCCATCCATCAAAAGGTATTACATGTTTGCTGATATCACCTTCTTTGAAGAAACACCCTTCTTTTCTTCCCCCATGGAGGATGGTTCCTCTATTCAAAATGTTCTTCCTATACTCTCATGTGATCCACTTATAATACTTGATCCTTCACTAATTCAACCTACAGGTCTCAATGATTCTCCTCCTCTTTTTACATATTACCACAGGACCCCACCTACACCTTTACTAGATTCTGTAGATAATCGTGATTCAGAACCTTTTCCATCAACTTCTCATACCATGGATCTTACGACCTCCTCTCCCACTTCTGATTTTGGATGGCCTATTGCACTCAGAAAAGGTATTCATTCCTCTCGGAATCCCTTTCCTATTTATAAATTTTTAAGTTACCATCGTTTGTCTCCTTCCTATTCCTTTTTTGTTGTCTCTTTGACAGACACCACTATTCCTAATACTGTCCATGAGGCTCTTGACCACCATGGATGGTGACAAAGTATGATTGATTAAATGCAAGCTCTTTAGCACAATGGTACTTGGGAGCTTGTTCCTCTTCCTCCTGGCAAAAAGGTTGTAGGTTGTAGGTAGGTTTATGCAATTAAAGTTGATAATAATGATAAAGTGAATCGTTTTAAAGTTCGTCTAGTAGCTAAAGGCTACACTCAAATTTATGGTCTCGATTACTATGATACCTTCTCTCCAGTAGCTAAGATTT